AATGTCTATACAATTTTTATTCATTTTTTAAAATTCTGTTTTTGTAATTTAGTACATTTTAGTAAGTGTTTTAATAAAAAAAAATTTAAATAAAATAATTTAAAGATTTACATAATATATTTAAATACTATCACTATAAAGTGTTATCTATAATAACCCTTGCTACTGTATATATTTGTAGTGTGAAATGAAAATAAACCAAAACTGCAAATAGGATACTTTTCAAATGTAAAAAAAGTTCTGATATCTTCTAATACTCATATGCTTTGCACAGATAGTTTATTCATATTTATTTACCAGACTGTTCATCCTTAAAAATGGCTAAGTATACATTCAGTGATAAATGTACAAAATTATTTCCAAACATTCTTGTAAGTGAACAGATGAAGATTCTTTCACAGGTCCTCTGTGTGGCCTCTGTGTTGCTCTATTGTGTGTTTCCAGAGTCTTCACTGCACCACTGTGCCACCTTCTGGAGAGGAGAATCACAGGTTTCCAAAGCAAGAAGACGTTGGCTTCATATGCCATTTACATGTGTTTTAAAATAGCAGTGATAAGCGTGCAGTTCCTGTCCAGTAGTGAACTCCGGCTGTGACAGACGAAACCGTCTGACCAAGAAACCGGCTGAGGGTTAGAACGCCTCTATCGACCGGCTGGGTCCCTCAAGTTTTGGTTTATGAGAAAAAAATAAATCCATATCCTCACACACAAACAGAGACACAGCGGCCGTATCTCAGTGAGTCAGCCAAATACTGACTCGTCTAATAAAAAGATACTTGATCTTGAAGTATCAAATAACTGGGGTGTGATTGCTCATTGCAGTGTAAACAGAAGTGGTCAAATAAACCCCACGGGCCGCTTTCTTCTTCCCGAACACTTCTTTATTCCCTCACCCTCTCTCTGTAGTACCACATTACCCGAGTGATTTCCTCTGGAGGTACACCTGTGAAAGCACGAGCGTGCGGCCCTGCTAGAAAAATATTGCGTTCTATAAAACTTCTCCATAATCGGGCCAGGTGCAATAAATCCAGGACAGAAATATTAAGTGGGGCTGATATTTCCTTGGCCTCTCTCCAGCTCGGCTAGTAAAAACCGGCAGTCAGAATGACCTTAGCGTTAAAGAAATATCATCGCGGATGACGATGGCAGTCAAACGCCGCTCATGTCTGTCGACGATTCTTACGAATGCACTCCGTTATCGATGTTCATTAGACACCAAATTACGCTAAACAGGGCTGTGAAGGTGTTTAAGAGAGTTTGCAATGATCTATGACTTTTAAAGGCATATCGCAAGGACATCTTTCTGTGCAATGCATTCGCTCCTCCAAGCCTACACGCTTCTACATGGATCTGTGAGAATAATGCTACATCAGCCTCCACCGACACAGACCCCCACACACACACACACACACACTGACCTCACACACACACACACACACAGCGCTTTACGTATAAGCAAATTCAAGCACCCGAAGCATTATAGATAATCTTATTTCACAGATACGCAGAGCACATTGCCTTTGGGACACATTTGCTTCTGTAAACGGAGAATTCACCAATCACAGATCAGAGTGCGCGTGGATCCACAGGGTTTTGAATCGGAGGCAAAGGCAGTATCCCTCCCTCAGTCAGAGGCTGTCGTCACGGCGACAAGAGGTGTCTGCTCCACGGCCGAGAGACGGAATGCCAGGCGGAAACGGTCGCCGCAGCAACAAGAGCATCCGAGGACTTCCAGGATTCAAAGTAGGAGTGGAGAAGCCGAGGCTGCCGGGGGCTCGAAAAGAGGGGAACCGGGGCCAGTCTTTCATCCACCGCCTCCTCATCCCTCACTCCTCCTCCTCCGCTGCTGCTTCACTTTCTCTCTGAAGGACAGCTCTGAATGAACCCTCCTTCTGACGGTGGGAGAGTGTGGCTGGACAGACGCTGAAAGGAAAGACATAAAAGAGTGGGATTGTGTGTGGGAACGGGAGAGAGAGAAGTAGGGGTGATTGGGAGGTAGACGGCATGTGTGATGGTGACTGACGCCGCAACAAAACGGGAAGGATGAGCCAAGCTCAGCCGAGCCGAAAACTGTATTTCCGTCATTCCTCAGGAGAGAGGAAAGGCAAACCTGCACGCACTTTATACCACTGACCAGGGGAGAGGTGAGAGCGAGAAAGCGTGCCAGAGACCACTGCCTTATGAAGTGTATTTCCACGGGGGCTGGTGGGATTCAATTTGGTGAGCGTGTTTGTATTTGTATCTGTTCTTCTTGGTCTCTCTTTGCTGTCTGTAATTGATTTTGTGTAGTAAACCGAAGCTTGAACATCAAGATATGTGTTTGAGAAAATTGAACACGGGGGAAAATGAGAGGAAGAGAGACGTTTCCAGGTAAAAAGAGAAATCGCTCTCCTTCCTGTCTTTCCAGGTGTTGTGTCTTTCCAGATTGTCTCTTCTGGCTGCGCCTTGAAGGGTCAAGTTCTCCTCTTTTATTCTCTTCCAATTCTTCCTGAAGCAAAAGACATGGAATTTACCTTCTCTGATGGCTTTTGAAGAAAGGCTAACAAAAGGATTTCACCCGTAATCGAAGGAAACTAGATTGAGATCTGTCTTTATCCAGCCATTTAACGAAATGGGTGAGAAATGTCTCTCTGACCCGGAGGAAAGGATGCGTCATTCCGTCTGATGCCCCTCGGGGGATTACGTGTGAAACGTTCATCATAACACTTATTGTAAGTGTAGTTGCAATTTTGGCAATCGCTCTGAAAGCATCACGTCCGTTGCCTTGGTTTAATGTTTCAGACACATCAACACATCTACAAACACATCTATACACGCACATAAAATTGCTCTGGCTTTTTGGCTGAATTTACACCCTCTCTCTCTCCTTTTCTTCCAGATCCAGTTCAAGGACAACTAAAGTTGGAATATTTCACCTTTTGGTTTGACTTTTTTTTACAAACAAACGTTGCAGATCTAAAACAAAGAAGCACTTAGCAAGAAAAGCATCTTTGGGAGTTTCCTTTTTCTTCCTGGATTGGATTTTACGTGGATCAGTCGCTCGTGCAACTCTCCTTGCCATGTCTTCATGGAAGAGAATAATTCTGCGTGGTAGACAACCGCTTTCCGTCCAAAATTACACCTAAGGACTCGCACATGCACATAAAACACATGCTAGGGTGAAATGATCCATGCTTCTTGCGCATTTCGCTTCTTCATCCTGGAGTCCGGTGTGTGTTCTTGGATCTAACAGCCTAAGCATCCTTCAATGATTCCGGCACCTTCCGTTCCATCCGCGTCTGTCCTGAGATGCCCCGCCGTACACAGCAAGAGGAGGTTTGACCACAGACCCAGCGAGGTCTCTCGGCTGCCCAGGCGTATTTAAGATGTTGAACCCTTCCCACGTGGCCCGAGCCCCAGATCGGATCAGTAGCACTGCGGCTCCCAGAGGCCCCAGACATGGATCGTGGCTCGGCTCGCCCCTGCCCTCAGCGCTCCGCACCCCGGCCCGTGAGCAGCCTGTGAAGGATGTCCCAGAGCGGAGCTCCAGCCCGGGAACCCTCTGAGACCCCCAGTCAGAAAGAACAGATCCGCAGCCACATGAAGATGGTGATCAAGCAGCTGGAAGGAATCCTCAAGGAGCTGAAAGATGTGGCACATGAACTGCGGGAGGTAAGGTTTGCTTGCCTTCTACTGTCAATTTGGTTTGGACTGCAGGTGACTGGTTTCTCCGGCAGGAGATAAATAATGAATGTTTTCCAGTTTGGACTGGCAGGTTGAAGCAGGTGGGGAGTCAATGTAGCCTCATTACACTAAGAAACCAAAGCGAGCGGCCTTAACCTGAGAATTTGACCGCCTTGGGAACCAAAAGAGAGGGGTTTATCTCTTTTATCCATAGGCGAGGTGCTCTTTTCCAGTGCACGAATGCCAAATGATGGCGTGAATAGATACAGAGTGAGAAAAATAGAAAGATAACACAAAAGTGAGAGGCAGAGAAGAAGGGAAAGAGGTGTGCAAGGTAGGAGTCGAGCTTGGCAATGCAATAGTTATGTAAGCACTTTGTTATCGGATGGATTCCTACTGTATCGTACCAACTGCCATGGTTACAAGATGAAAAGATTCCACTGTGTGTGTGTATGTGTGTGTGTGTGTTCCTTGCTCTGTGTTTGGGAGTGAGCTGACGGCATAGAAAAAAGACAAGTGCGTGTCTGCGTCAATGTCACATTTCAGCTGAATAGATTCATGTGCAGAAACGGGCCAGAAATTGTTGAAAAGTGAACAAGTCTGCGCATGCACGAGAGAAAATAATGAATTCTTTAGTTTCTCTCCCTCTCCATATGGACATTAAATATTTCAGTTCACTCTGGCTAGCACACCAGCTAAAATTCACCCTTCCCGAACCATCCCTCATCCTTCGAGCTCCCCGGGCACCGGCATCTGTTCCCCTCCAGATTAACCCATCCAGCTCACACCTCCAGACCGTGTGGCGTGGAGAACTACCACCTCGAGTCTCTCACTCGTGCCCCAACGTGATTGATGATGTGGGAATAATGCTCGCTCCGGCTATTTATAAACACCAGGACTCGGCGTAGCCCGGGTAAACGACTCTGCGCCCACTCTACATATGGATCGGGCTAAAAATAAAGTCAAAAACTCAGAGACAAGTATGCATTCTGAACGGAGAGAGTGTGTGTTGGAGAATATGAGATGGCTTTAGAGCTTTACATTAAGGAGTATTGATGATCAGTCCAGGGGAAGATGTGTAGATGGCGAATGTCGGATAAAATCTTTAATTCTTTTGGCTCGTTTAGAGGACTAACTGATGGTTGACACTCAATGCTGAATGATACTTCAGGGATGCGCAATAATGGGGTCACATCACACGTCATGAGACTGCAGACTCTGCCTGAGTGTGTGTGTGTGTGTGTGTGTGTGTGTGTGTGTGTGTGTGTGTGTGTGTGTGTGTGTGTGTGTGTGTGTGTGTGTGTGTGTGTGTGTGTGTGTGTGTGTGTGTGTGTGTGTGTGTGTGTGTGTGTGTGTGTGTGTGTGTGTGTGTGTGTGTGTGTGTGTGTGTGTGTGAGGTTTTTTGCCAACATTGCGAGGACTGAATGTCCCCATAAGGACTGTAAAACCTGAAGTCACATGCATTTTGGATATCCAATGGTCCTTAAGAGGAAAATGGCCAGAATCTTAATTAACCTATTCAAATGTAGAAACATTTCTAGGGGGTAGAAAATAACACTAGCTCTGTATAAAAACAGTAGATGTTAAAGGAAAGTCCCCACCATGATAGAAAAACAAATGTGTGTGTTTGTTGAACTAACACACCAGCAAGTACAGGTAGTTTTGCTAGTAGCGACATTTGCTTTTCTTCCCGTTAGATCAAAACGGTTACAGTTAAACCATCTCTACCCCTCATAGGCCGCAGAGAATCGATGCTCTTGGTGTTTGACTGCATATGTCTGTGTGTTTGAGTATATGTGTATTTATACCCTTTAACCCTGTTTGACTTCAAAGTACTGCAAGTTTGTGCTGAGATGGAAAACACTTATGTAACTCTACCAGTAACTTACATAAAACGGCACAAGCAGCTCTGAATTAGTCATCAGTTCTGTCACTCTGCAGGAATTTAGCATCTCGCACGAGTCTGAAGTCTTTTCGCTTCTCCTCCCATCCGCTCAAACTCAAATTCAACCCCCCAAGCTTTTGCTGCTGCACTTTTTAATTAATGCTAACCGCCGCAGGCTAAGATCATCCTTGCAAACAAACGCTGAGGGAAATGTTGTCATTCTCTTTCCTCTGACGTTCGAGTAGGAGACGTAGTGTATAGAAAAAGAATGGTTTACACAGCCCGGGTTGCATTAAAAATAAAGGCAGCAATGCATTTTGTCTTTTTTTGTTGTTGGAGGGAGCAGCACTGGTGCACTAGATGAAATAAGTTTCCCTAAATTAGAGCCAAACTTTACAGCTAGTGATCACCGTTTGACATTTTGATAATAGCTAATAACTTTGATTAAAAAGGTCATGCGAGTTTGGAGCGGCATGGTGGGCAGATGATGACTTAACTGGACGTGCGCCAGTGGATGATTGAAATGTTGTTTTCTCACAATAATTGTGCGGTTAAATATTAGGTACAATAAGGCAATATATGTTAACGTCATAACAAGAACGAACAATATATTTGCAGAATTTATTAATGTAGGTCAGTGTTATTTTAGTATCATTGAGATACAATTATAGTTTTTATGAATATTTTGAATCTATTTTTAATTTTTATTTTCATTTTAGTTACGCTTTTAGTAATTTAGTTATGATTTTGCCATTTTTTTTAGTTTTTGCTCTTTTATAGGTGTGTCTGTGTAGTTTTATTGATTTATTTAATTAAATTTAATTTTAAAAAAAATTTATTTTGGCTATTTAAGTATATCAAATTAAACTAAATTGAATTGAGAAATGTTGCTGACATAGCCAAAATAAAAAGTGTTTTTATATTTTATTTCAGTTAACATTTATATTAATTTCAAGTGGTTTTAGTTTCGGTTTTAGTTTTAATTAACGTGTACAACCCTGATCTAGGTTAACTTTCATTTCTAAATATACTCGTGCATTTTTAACATTTCTAGTTGAATAAATTAAAAAGTAGGTGTTATAAATGAACATTATCAACAATTTTATATATTGATGCTAACCTAAATTAATAAATGCTTTTAATATGTAGTATATTTATTTCATTCATTTACAAATGTTAACAAAGTTAACCTTACAGCAATATATATATATATATTTGTTTTTTTGTTTTTTTATGGCTTAAATTTTAGTTTCTTCTATTTTTAATTAACAATAACAACCTTGATCTAGGTTAACATTAATTTCTAAATCTAAATTTCATTTTTTTATATATTTCTAGTTGAATAAATTAAATACCATGTATTACAAATGAACATTATCAACAATTTTATATATTCACATTAACCCAGATTAATAAATGCTTTAAAAATGTATAAGTATATTATTTTATATTTTAAAAGTATATTTGTTGTTTCTTTAATTTACTAATGTTAACCAAGAGAAACTTAAATCAAAATTCATTAATGTATTTATTTTGATTGATTGATGCAATATATCATCGTTTAATCAATTTCTATAGGCATGCCAATTCAGGTGCTTGTCTTGATGAATTTAAGGCACTTATTGGTATCCTCATCCAGGCTTTTAACTGTAAATCAGCAGGTTTGATCCCACTTACAGGTGATCCATTAACTATAGACCCTGTTTCTGTTCTACCGCCATCGTGTACTTGAGCAAACAACTTAACCCATAGCTTCTCCAAAGGGACTCATTGAAACTGCCCTACTGTAAATTGATTTGGATTAAACATCTATATGCATTAAGCACATTATATTATTCACAATATTGTTATAAGATCACGCTCCACATGCAAGAGTTTTATAGGCCTTTGTTTAAGCGTAGCATTATCATGCTGATTGAAACAGACAGCGCTCCCTCTGGAGTCAGCTAGTTGTTGTGCTGAATTTGATGATCAATATATTTCATTAGTGAGTCGATTCACTGCCGCTGTCCTCAGCGAGCCGATTGACTTCCGAATTCTCTGTGGCGCGGAGAGCAACATGCAAAAACCATCGATAACATAAACACTCCCATTACGGTTAAACGGCCCCGATGCATAACGGGCCCACACAAGATGTCTATGGATTGCCTGAAAATACAAGTGCTTGAAATGAAGTGTCAGAAGAGAGTGAAAAAAAGCGCTATTCTTTCTAGGGAGGAACGAAAGAGAGAGAGGAAGTAGACGGAGACAGAAACACACAATACGGAGAGGAGACTGTGTCTCACAGCATGTAATGAGAGGGACGAGTGTCATTTGGACAAAGAGTACTTATCTTTGCTCCAGTGCAGTGTTTGCAGCTCGGTTAAGTGTCTGTGCCTGAGCTCAGTAATTTGAGAGATTGGTTTATCACACAGAAGCAGAGGGAGTGATGCAACGGCAAACATGGCTTTCTGAAAATTGAGATTTCAGACCAAACGGCTCGGCCTCTTCTAATGTCCTCACTCAAATAATAAAGAGACGACTCGTTAAAGGAATCGTTTGCCCCAAAATGGACATTCTGTCATCATTCATTCACACTGGAGTCGCTCAAAGCTCGATATTATTATTTTTTCTTTTCAAACACAAAGTAGGGATTTTTCAAGAATGCAGTTTTTTTTTTTTTCAATTACGATGAATTTGGACTGAAGCTCTCAAGCTTCAAAAAGGATGCAAAAGCATCATAGATATCGAGTTTTTTCTTCTATACATATCAGTTGTTAATATTTAAAATTGTTTCAGTATTCATGCTCTGCAGTATTGATACACTGGTGCCAATTGCGCTTTCTTTTCATGTGCATGCGAGCAGAAAGCCTCGGTTCGCTGTAAATGCTGCAAACTCCATCTTTGCATGTGCTGCGAGATGCACTTGGGAACGTAATGTGCGTCAGTTGTGCTTTATTTTGGTAATTTGCATAATTTTCAACTTTTTTGTGAACAGATGATTGCAGCATTTCAGCAGGGTTGTACTGAGAAGCGTTTGTACACCTGCTGCCATATACACTTAAAAGGCTTTCCTGCAGCTTTCTGCCAAAATAAAAGCTTGCGTTTTTTTTTTTTTTTCACA